CCCAACATATCCCAACAGACTAAAGACTGTAATTAAAGCAAAAGTGGTTCAACAAAATACTGACACAAGAGGGTGATCCCTTTTCCAACTCATTGATTCTGTTTTTTTTTCCTGACATGTTGGTGTTATATCTTTCACTTGGTTATAAGTTACACTGAGTAAATACAGCTGGATAAAACAAAAACTTTGACTTTGGAACTGTCTGGAGACAACTTTATAGAGGTCGTGCTCAATAAATAAATGCATTTGACCTTTTTTTATGCAATGATCATGATTCTTATTTGGATTATTTATTGGCCGTTACACTCTCTTTTTATGATTATATGAATTAGTATTTGCAAGGACAGCACAGAGCTCATGATGAGCAATGGGTCAATCGCTGTCCAGAAAAACAAAATTAAAATACAGCAATGATATTAAAGCACTAGATGGCGCAGCTGAGCTAATGTGACTGTATCTGGAACTCCTCATGCTGTTAAATCCCATTAAAAACTACTGAGATGACTGCGTTCATTACCAAAGTATTGACTATAAAATAACCTTAAGCTACTGGATGAGAACAAAACTGACACTACTTGATTAGAAATGAATTGAACTGGATCACACTATTGTCTTAATAGGTAAAGCTGCTTTTGAAGTCGTGTTAATTTTGAAGAGCTTTAACAACATTGACAGTTATTGAATGAAATGGAATCAACATGAAACTCAGTTGATTTGAATATCGACACAATTGTCTTCTTTAAAGTTGCTTTATAGATGGTTAGACATTCGATGAACTTTGTTCTATGTTCATTATCAGCTGAAATTAAAGTCATTGTATAATTGTTGATTTTATTTATTTTTGGAACAACATAAGATTGTGTAAATGATCAGATTTTCATTTTTGGATGGACTATTCCTTTGAATTATTATTTTCATTTGATTTTTAATTTTGTTTTAAGCAGAAACTAAATTGAGCTATATTTGTGCTTAAACCTATTTGTTAATGGTGTAGGAAAACAACAACAACAACAACAACAACAACAACAACAACAACAAACTAAATTAAAATGTGTGACTTTGCTTTTCAGGTATATTTAGCTTGTTTAAAAGATGTTTAGATTTAGCCTTTTCTTTAGTGCCCTAACACAGACTGTTTGCAGACAGAGTGAAGTTTGTCTTGGGTTGTTTGACACAGAGGTGCTGACTGCTTTGTGGATGGGTCTCTCTCCTTGCTTCTCACTTGGTAAGACAGTAATTGAAAGATTGACATTAAAGGGAAAATCTGGGGGAGTTTTTCTTGACCAAGAACAATATGGTATCAGGTACTGCACCCTCTCAAATACTCAACACACCCAGCATTACTTCAGATTTCACTTCACTATATTTAATGATGTACAGTGGGGTCCAAAAGTCTGAGAGCACACTGAAAACACTGGATTTAAAATCTAATTTAAATCTGGAAATATACAGAACAGATTCTTGATACATTTAAAACAAAGAAACATTCTGAACAATTTCTTTGTTATCCAGCCAGATTAAAGGAAAAGTTAACCCAAAAATGAAAATATGCTGAGAATTTACTAACCCTCAGGCCATTCAAGATGTAGATTTGGAGAAATTTAGCTTCTCATCACTTGCTCACCAATGCATCCTCTGCAATAAATGGCTATCGTTAGAATGAGAGTCCAAACAGCTGATAAAAACATCACAATAATCCACAAGTAATCCACACCACTCCAGTCCATCGATAAATGTCTTGTGAAGTGAAAAGCTGTGTTTGTAAGAAACAAATCAGGCGTTTTACCGTAGTTTCTGGCCAAAATACAAGTCCATAATCCATAATAACGCTTGTAAACAGCGCTTGATCCGTGCATATTTCTTTCCTGATTCAGATGAGACTACTTTTTCACTGGAAAAAGAAAGCAATATTAAGGATAGAGGACCCGTGTTTTTGCCAGAAGCAATGTTTTGAAGTTAAAAACGTCTTAATAATGTATTTATTTATTAAACATGCAGCTTTTCACTTCACAATACAATAATTGATGGATTGGAGGATTACTTGTGGATTATTGTGATGTCTTTTTGGTGAGCAAGTGATGTAATGCTAAATTTCTCCAAATGAAGAAACAAACTCATCTACATCTTGGATGGCCAGAGGGTGGGTACATTTTAAGCTAATTTTCAGTTTTGGGTGGACTACTCCTTTAAGGACCTTGTTGTCCCTGACTCATTAATTGCTGGATGCAGATCGGAACAACTTAAGTGTGAACATGAAACTTGCTTTTCTCACTCAGTTCATATTCATGGAAATCCCAGGAATGCTCCTTCAATTAATGTGTAACAGTTCCAATTTAACAGACATCAGTACCAGAGAGACAAACGCAGCACTGAGGCCAACCGTGCACTTCCAGAACCATCCAAAGCAAATGTTGATCCAGACTTCGGTCCAAGTCAGTGCGTTCGACAGTAGTGCAGCTTTCATCTCCAGCCAGGTACCTTCAAGGTTCATTGATAAGGCAATGAAACTATATGTAAATGGAACAACCCGACGCATGGCCATTAGTCTTCCCTAAAGCCCCAATGTGACTTTTAATCAACGTCAAACGGCGAAAAAGAGACAGAGGAGAAAGTTTAATGACGGAGATGATATATTTAAAGAGGAACAAAGTAATGCCAGGAAATTATGATAGAATACTAATTTTGAGATCATTGCAAAAATTTATTTTTATTTCTCTTACAAAGAAAACTATTATAACAACATACAACAATCAAAAAAAGCCAATTTCTTTCACTGTTGTCATGATAATTTCCCTTAAACCCCTTTTTCTATCCGTGGATAAAAGAGACCAGGCTTCACAGGGAAGAAAAGCAAGATAATTTAAACACAGATGTGCAAAGGAAACAAAGCATGCAAGAACCAGAGACAAATTTGCTACAAATTGCCCTCAGTTAACCTGTCAGATAAATACTAATTTACAAAAGAAGAAATGAGATAATAATTCAACAAAACTAGGGTGATGTATTTACCTCCTGTAATATACAACATGGTCTCTGAACGTTGTAAACATTTCGTACACTCACAGCTATTTCAACTAATAGGTAGATGCCCTGATTTGAAGCCGTGTGGCCGTCAGGATGGGATCACTGGGAATGCAGACCTGGATCCTGTGATGAATTCAAGCAACGGACCTGATTTGAAGCAGCCAAAATGAACCATGACTAGTCCTACCAGAGATGCAATACTGGACCACTGTTAAGGTAAAGAAGTTCAGAAACACATCCAACTCATGCTAAGAGCTTTGGTTTATTTGAATTGAATTGCTTAAATATGGGCTTTACAAGCCAAATAATAAGCATTGCTTCGAGGAAAGCTTTCAGTTGTTTGGTGAGGTCTGTATAGTTCCAACTGTAAGGCACTTGATAAATATAACTCTGTTAGACAATTGTTGGGTAAATCAATCTGTCAATGACTGGTCAACTAGGGGGAAAATGATGAAGCTAATTTGCACATTTCTGAGCTGATAATGAAGATTTTCATTAGCAAAACTGACAATGTACCACCATATCAATGGAATAAAATGTAGCTACACAACTGGTCAAAAGTTTGGGCTCAGTAAGATTTTTTAATGTTTTTGAAAGAAGTCTCTTTTTTTATGAGCATTTATTTGATCAAAATAGAGTAAAACCAGTAATGCTGTGAAATATTATTCCAATTTAAATTTTTTTTCTATCTGAATATTTTTTAAAGTGTAATTTATTTCCATGATTCAAAGCTGAATTTTCAGCATCATTACTTCAGAGTCACATGATCCTTTTAAAAAATCATTCTAATATGCTGATTTGCTGCTCAAAAACATGTATTATTATTATAAATGTTTAAAACAATTACAATAATACATCTTATAAACATTGAAAACTGAAAACGTAGTTGAAATATTGAAAAACTTTTCATATGTTCATATATTTTTCAAGGATTCTTTAAAGAATAAAAAATAACAGCATTTATTTGAAATTGATTTTTTTTCATGTATACATGTAAATGTATTTACTGTCATTTTTGATCAACTTAATGCATCTTTGCTGAATATTAATTTCTTAAAAAATATTACTGACCCCCAACTTAAACTGAAGGTTTAAATACCATTCCAAAAAAAAAAGGAAAAAGTAATTTAACACTAGTTGCATTGTTGCAACTGGTAATATAGTGCCATAACTGAGTGTGAAATTGATTTTTTTTCATGTATACATGTAAATGTATTTACTGTCATTTTTGATCAACTTAATGCATCTTTGCTGAATATTAATTTCTTAAAAATATTACTGACCCCCAACTTAAACTGAAGGTTTAAATACCATTCCAAAAAAAAAAGGAAAAAGTAATTTAACACTAGTTGCATTGTTGCAACTGGTAATATAGTGCCATAACTGAGTACATTACCCCTCTTTTCTGAGGATATGAATTGCTCCAGTTATCAGGAAAAGAATATTGTGTACGACACATCCAGAACCTTCAATATTCCCCCACTGGAAACCTTTCCCAGCCACATTTGATAAAGCAACATAAAAGCTAAATAAATTATCCCAGCACATGCACATCAAAGAGAGCTTGATCTAGCACATTGGCAAACACTTTTGAGCATCCGTGGCTGTTTCTTTGGTTTAAAGCTTTAAAACAGTGAAAAAGCATTTAGTATCAAGCAATATTAACTGCTTACAAATGTAGTGTACTTAGACACAGAGACTCTATTTCGTTTTAAACGCATTCGACTTCAACATACAACTCTGTGTGATCAATTAAGGCACAGAAATTTAAATTACTGTAAATGAGTTGCATTAACTTGAACGTAGATGCTTTACAAAAATATTCCCTCCATGACTCAAGTTCCAAATACATTAATTCATCTATGGCTTTTATAAGTTACTTTAAATCCTTTTATCAAATACGTATAACTTAAATGCTTAACTTAAAAAAGCACAAAAAGATATATTTGATCACAAACTGTGTTACAGGTGTTGTTCAGTGCTTTAAATGATATATTAAAAACATGCCAAGACAAGTAAATAACAACAAAATGCTAATGAAATACTCGATCCATCGCTATTCCTTCAATTCCAAATAATCCCGCCTATGACAATGATTCCCAGAGGTCAAAAGGTCCAGAATAATGTATTACAACAACAAAGTCCAATGTAGAAAATACTTCCCTTTCAACAGGCTCATAAATACTCATGTTAGCGAGGGAAAGTAGCTCAGCGAGACAGGATGAACATCCAAGTAAGGTTTGTGCTTTAAAACCATGCCGTTCTTTTGGAGCTTCCACGCTCACGTAACTGTCTGATCAATATGGCCGCCACACGCCTTCGTCCATTCTGCCAGCAGGATGAAGCAGAGTGGGGGAGTTGCTATGACTACCGTCTCCCTCCACCCCCCCACTTCCATCAGCCTGGACCGGGAGGTTTGGGTTGACCAGGCTGGTTCCCGTGGACGCGCTAGTACAAGGCGGCATCATCCGAGTGGGCGATCGGTCTCCTCCTGGAACCATAGAGAACTGGTAGGAGCCCGATGAGGCACCGTAGTAGAGATAAGGTGTGCTGCTGCTCTGGAAGGGTCCGCTTTGGCTCTGGGTGGAGCCGGGGTACGGCGGGGGAAGGTAGGTATGGTAGTGAGCGCTGCCGAGGGACATTCCGTTGGTGACGGGGGTGGGCGTGTACGTGAAGGTGGCTGGGTAGTGCATTCTGGGACTGGAAAATCGGCTCTCGGTGAGTGAGGAGAAAGCGGGGAACTGACGCTCAAACTGGCCTGGAAAAGGACTCAAATCTGTTGAACCTGCAGAAACAAATGATGAGGTTACTTTTTATAGAAGTATGGAAGGATTTAAATACTATTGAATACAGAAATTACAGCAATGAACAATCATGACAACAGAATTGAGCTTTATTGAATTTCCCCCCCCACTTTATTTAACTACAACCCTGTTTAACCAAGAGCCAGTTGCATAAGCATACACTCTAAAAAATGCTGGGTTAAATATAACCCAGTGCTGGGTAATATAGGGACAAACCCAGCAATTGGGTTGTTTTGACCCAGCGGTAACCATTTAACGGTCAAAACAGCCCAATTGCTGGGTTTGTCCCTATTTTACCCAGCACTGGGTTGTATTTAACCCAGCATTTTTTAGAGTGTAGCCACTGCGTTAAAACTAGTTTGACCAACTACTAGTTAGCCGAATTAGGGTTATCAGTTACTCTTACTTTCTGGATTCAAATTAGACCAATCTACCTTTTTGTAACTGACTTTAAAGAGTTATGACCAGTTTTGAAGAAACTAAAAAAAATCATATGAATAACTTTTTAAGATTGTTTCTCATTGTTTCACTGTTATTTTACGTTAATTAGAAAGTAACTATTAAAAAGACACCATTAACTTTAAACATGCAGAGGAGGACAGTTTATCGATTAGTTGGCTTCACTTCATTGTGGTTTTTCCTCTTTGTCACAGACAAGTTCATGTGTATGTGTATTCATGTGTGCGGTTATATGTCTCAGTTCATTTGTGTCTCCGGGGTATTTATATGCCTCTTTATGCTGTATGCATGTTTAAATTGTTCCTGTGCATACAAAAGTGTATGTATGTATGTGTGTGTGTGTGTGTGTGTGTGTGTGCATCTGCATTGGCTGCCGCACATAAAACAGAACTAGGATGCATAATCGGTCACACATTTGGAAACGTTTAGAGGGGCGCGAAGCAGCATCGTAGCAAGAGAGACAGACGTCTGCACTGTTGTGGGCTCCTGATATCTTCAACATTATAAACCCAGGCAAAAACTGTCCATCTGCCCTTCTGTCCTTAACATATTCTTTATTTCCCTCCAAAAATCAGAAACCGCTAATGGTCTATAGCTAGTGCTAGTGCCAAGGGGTAAAGGAACAAAGAGAAACAGCCTCGCCTCCCTGGCACAGAGCTGTTTTCATAAATCACACGGCGTCTTTCTTGTCACCATGTCTGCGCCTGTGGGCCGACTGGGTGGCATGGTTAAACGTGGGCGATTTGCGGAGACTCGGCTTGTCACTAACGCTAGCCGATTCTCCTTTTGCCTTAAACGCCCACCCCCCCTTTTCTTTATATTCAAAATCTTTGGTTTAAGCGGTTGACGATAATGGTTTTCTCGCCTTAGGGTATACAGAGAGCCTGTGCTCTGAATAAGAGGCCGAATGATAAAAGCAAAAAAAGTTATTTACATACATTCTCTGCTAGTCACCAAAAATCCATAGACAAGATGGTGCTGGTCTTGAGAACAGATGCTATGTCTGTAAAACTAATGATTTATTTGGCAAGAATGATTTGTTTCAGGTGAACCAAACAACTCTGGGTTATTTATTTACAAGTTTATCTCATGTCTACATGAGGAATGATGCCACCATTCAACAACACAGTGCAGTAGTTTTTACTCATTGTTTGCTACAATGCTAAAGCTAAGCCTCTAACTTTCTAAATATGACTACTACTTAAACACATACGCTTCAAGCTCGATTTCATGCATTATTTTTTTCAGAAATGAATCAGACCTATAATTCATATCGCAACCAGTGTTGCTTAATCTAAAACTATAAATTTTTTTTTACTAAAATAAAAAATAAATAAAAAACTTGAAATATATGAAAATCATAAATGCTGCCTTGCCAACTAACTGACATAAGTTAACAAAATTTAAATGTATATAAAATTAAATATTTAGAAATATATATATATATATTAAAAAAAAAACGAATACATATGACAAAAGCACATTAAACTCAAAATTGTAATCTAAAATAAAATAAAATATTAAATATGATAAAAGCTAATAATAAAATATAAACAATTACTCGGTAACACATTTGGATAATCCCCGCCTGCCCGCGAAATACGAACAGAGTCTGACCTGCCCACAAACACTTCCGCTAGTTAGTGTGTTTACATCATGTTGAGAAGATGCTGTGTTCAAGGATTCCACAGAAATACAATTCGAACCTTTTGTTGTGTGCATGTCATTCTACCAAGGACTGCTTCTCTAATCTTGGCTTTTATCTTCGTTGGCTTCTAATCTTCTTAATTTGGACTAACAAGCGCTCCGAACGACAACCTGTAAGTACGATTGATACGTTATATGTACATTTTCAATTGAGTGCTCAAAATATCAAGCTTTTGTGCTAGTATGTGATGGCTTGTGACGTCGGAGCCTGGGCTGTTATCTCCGCCTACTGGAAACTTTTTCAGGCTTCTGATTGGCCAACATGGCTTTACGGTTGAGATTATATCGCCACCTGTTGGTTTGGCATGCTCTTGACAGTGCTTCATAGCATGCGTTTGCGTTTTCATGTGGACAGGGATTTTTTTAAAAATGGAAGAAGGAAAAACTATGTTTATAAAAATACCCGTGTACGTGTAGACATGGCCTTACTGAAGTAGTTCTGATAATTCCCACTATTTCCCAAGAATGTGTCGATTAATGTAGACTGACGTTGTTCTAATTACTTTGTTTAATAATAAAGAATGTAGTGTAGCACACAGACTTTATAATCATTGTGAAATTGCCGTTTTTTTGCTGCACCGGTTAATGCGGGAGAGACGAGCGAGTTAGTTAGGCTGGTGCGCATGTGATACAGCTGTTCTGCGTTCTGATTAAAAGTTAAGACCGAGCATCTTTTGTCTGTCGTTCTTCAAACATTACAGTAGACATATTTTGGTTTACAAACTGTGTTGTTTCATCAGTGTATAGGTGCTTTGTCAATGGTAGCGCTCGCTCAAGGACTCCTCTCTCTGTCAATCACAACAGGCTTGGCCAGCTGACCAATCAGAGCAGAGTAGGCTTATGGAAGGAAGGGGTTTGCTCCGAACTTGCTTGGAACAAATCGTTTCGAAATCATTGGTAAATGACTCTAATATTAAATGTATATTCTGAGAAAATTACAATGTTTTCTGACCTTAGATGCATTTAAACCTGTTGTAGGGGACTCCAACACAATATTAGAACACTTTAAAATACCACATGACCTGCTCTTTAAGGTAAAAAAAAACATTATATCCACATACTGTACATTATTGTTTCTCCTCTATGCCCCGCCTTTCTGAAACACGTCGATTTTTACAAAGCTCATCGGTCTGAAAAGCGAGGT